CAGGCGGATCTCTGTGAGTTCGAGGCCAGCCTGGGCTACCAAGTGAGTTCCAGGAAAGGTGCAAAGCTACACAGAGAAACCCTGTCTCAGGGGAAAAAAAAAAAGAATTGAGGGTAGGCCAGGCTGTGGTGGCTCACCCCTTTTATCCCAGCACTTGGGAGGCAGAGGCAGGTGGATCTCCATGAGAGTTCGAGCCCAGCCTGGTCTACAGAGTTAGTTCCATGACAGCCAGGAACCTGTCTCAAAAACTAAAACAAAAAAAGAATTGAGAGTAAGAGGCCAGAGACATGGCTGGGCAGTTAAGAACACTGACTGCTCTTGCAGAGGACCTAGGGTCAATCACTAGCACGCATGTGGTGGCTTACAACTGTCTCTAACTCCAGTTCCAGATGACTGAGCCCTCTTCTGGCCTCTATGTGTACTGCATCTGTATGTACTTGGTACACAGACATACGTGCAGGCAAAACACGTGTGTGTGTGTGTGTGTGTGTGTGTGTGTGTGTGTGTGTGTGTGTGTGCGCGCGCTGCTGTTTTCAAGGAACTGAGGGTAAACTGAGTGTGATGACAGACATCCGTAGTCCCACCTACTGGGAGGCAGAGGCAGGGGTTATTTTCTTCTATTTTCCTTTTGTTGTTGCCTGCCTGACATTCAGACCAAGGCATGCGTGTGAAGTCAGGTCAACTGTGGGAATCGCTTCCCTTCTCCCTCCGCGTGAGTAAGCCCAAGCCTGTGGCTTGGCGGCAGGTCCCTTGGGCCACTAGGCCATCCATCTCATCAGCCCTGAATCCAGGAGTTCAAAGACTCCTAGCAAGACCCTGAATCAAAAATAAAATCTGCAAGATGTCTCCTCTGAAAACCAATTCTCAGGCCTGGGGGAGTGCTTCACTAGAGTGCGTACACAGTGTGCACTGAGCCCTGGTTCCATCTCCCAGTACTGCATAAACTGGCTCGAATGGCACACATGTGCAAGCCCAGCATTCTGGAGGTGGGCGGGAGAATCAAGATGATCCTTGGCTACACAGGAAGTTCAAGGTCAGCCGCTAAACAAAAGCAGACAAGTTCTCTTCCCACACTTTCCTTCTCACTGAATTGGTGTCATCCATCATCAGATTCCACCCCAAGAATCCACGGACAAAGAGAATGTGGGATGGAGAGTGATGGAACCTCAAAAGGCCAAAGAACTCTCTTTAATACTCCTGTTCTTTTGTCCTCTGGAAGAGAGGGAGGGAAGAAAGGGAAAGAGCGAAAGGTTAACAAAGATTACCGAGGGGAGGGGAGGTGAGGGGAGGAGAGGGGCGGGGCACAGCAGGGCAGGACAACAACCACATGGACACTAGTCCATACCTATAATACCAACAAGGCAGGAGGATTGCCCTGACTTTGAGATCAGAACCCCAATGTGTGTGGGGGAGGGGACAGGGAAGGAGGGGAAGAGGAAGAAAGAGAGGGAAGGAGAGAAGAACCAGACCACCTGCAACAGAAGTAAATCCTGGCAAGCCTCAGGACCTGCTCACGTTAACTACAAGAAACTGAGCGTGGCTACTGAGTGCATGTTAGCTGCTTCCAAAGATGAGAAACTGAAGGACCCAACCACTGAACTTGCCTAGAAGGCAATACTCAAGGGAGTGAATACACAGACTACCAATCAGAACAAAGGTTAGCAAAGGACAGACAGACAGACACCTTTCTGGGGAAACTGAACAGCGTTATTTTCCCTAAGAACCTCCACCTCTTGTGATAAGCAGCACCTCCCCTGCAATGGGACAGATCTCCATCTTAGGCTGAAGGCCACACACAGGACAGGCTTCATTTTGTCTGTCAATCAAGTTGAACCCAGGGTTACTGATCACAGCTGCCGGGGGTCTCTCGAAATCCATTCTCCCCTTCTTTGGTGTCAATGAACCAATAATTCGGCCGATTATCACTCAACTAAAACTTTATTTCATGGGCCCCATTGGAACTAGATCTGGCCATGAGAACAGACCCTTACCTAGTCCTAAGTCCTCAGGGCAAGTACCCTAGGGGGTTCTAGAAGTCCTCGAAAGAAAAAGGAGCTGTCCTTCCTTTTCTTTCTCCAGCCTGCTGGCCGCCATGCAGATGTGATGGCAGGCATTCCAGCTGCTACTATGAGAATCAAAGCCCCCGTCTAGAGACAGCAGCACAGTTCAGAAGAAACCAGATCTCTAACCACCTTCTTTGTGGAGCTGCGACTCCAGCCCTGGCCTGCCTACCCCAAACCTGCTTTCATAAGGAAAAACCTAATTCCCATTACACAAACTATTACTGCTATTATTGTTTTTTCTTTTTTCTTTCTTTTCTTTTTTTTTTTTTTTGGTTGTTGTTCTTTGTTTTGAGACAGGGTTTCATGTGTATTCCTGGCTGTCCTAAAACTAGCTCTGCAGACCAGGATGGCCTTGAACTCATGGAGCTCTGCCTGCCTCTGCCTCCCAAGTGCTGGGATTAAAGGTGTGCACCACCACCACCACCACCACCACCACCACCACCACCACCACCACCACCACCACC